TTTTCGTCAATACCAATTTGTTTCCGATTGGGGCCAAAAGAACTGGTTTTTAGAAAGAAAAAAAAACAGGTTCACCACCCCGAAATAATCTAAACGAGTTTTGAATTTATTTTTTTCTTGCATTAAAATATATCTATTTTGGCCTACCTCTAGTACCCAACCTTTCCCGAAGTCATGGGATTGTGCCCTCTATTTTCTGTGGCAGAGACAGTAATAACCACCCCCGAAAAAATAACGCGGTGATTCGGTGTGGCTGCTGCTCCGGTCGTGGATGGCTCCACGGCAGCTTGGCAGGTCGGCTGCAGTGGCGGCTGACATGTTTCGACATCGGCTCGTCCATAGGCGGCTTGCTTCAACCTTCAAGCCCTCTCCTCGTCATCCGGGAGCTACTTTCGTCGAAGGGCTGGCCTTCTCCCAGCTGCGGTCCACCACTCGTCTCGCACCCGGTTCAGCAGGACCGAGCTCGTCTCGCGCACGGTGCAGCAGGACCGACCTCGTCTCACGCATGTGCTGCAGGACCGAGCTCGTCTTGCGCCCGGTGCTGCAGGACGAGTCGATGGAAGCAAATGCTGGCTGGCCTATTGGGTCTTGGCATTGGAGGTCGCCCGGGGGTGCGTAAGGTGGGACCTTTCCGCTCGTCTCTTTGGTTGGGGTAGTGGCGGGTCTCGGGCGAGGCGGTGTCAAGGTCTTGGATGTCGGGGCGGCGTCCCTGGTGGTGGTAGCGCGACTGCCCGTGGCTTGGTTGCCCGGTGGTCATGGTCGTGTGGGCGGCGTGGTAGGCTGGATGTGGCGTTCGGTGGCGGTGAGTGTTGGCCGGGGTGAAAACCTGTTCTATCTTCGGACGGACCGGCGGCGGCGAGCTCGTTCCCTTCTTGAAGGCGTCGTCGCGGCTCTCATTGCCCGTCGTGCGGCTCCAGGAGAAACTCCGATCCACGGATCGGGCCGTGGCGGCGCTCCGGTGTCGTATCCTTCCTGAAGGCACCGCCTTGGAGCCCACGGTTCGTCGTATGCGGCTTCATCTCTTCGCGGTGATAGTGCTAGGGTTGATGTTGCTGCGCTCAGTGCCTATGTATCCAGCCTTGGGTGTGTGTGTTGTGGTGGCGTGCGTTTGTACCAGGTTGTTGATGATCATTGCTTTATATATAAAGCGGGACATCGATAAAAAAATAACACGGATTAAAGGGTCCTGATCCCGCGACGTGGAGCATAAAACTAGAAGTTGTTTCCACCGGGGTAATAATCGGTTTGTGTCACAAGATGCATACGCATACTATATGATCCACTATACTATATGATCCACTGTAGAGTATAAATTCAAAATTTTCAAAGAAAAGTCTAGTAATAATATTACTGGTTATTGATTGGTTCCAAAAAAGTTGGACGAGAAAAATTTAATTCGCTAGGTATACTTTATTTGGCTTTGAAAGGTGATTTTATATGTTTCTCATGGTCATTTGTTGCCGAAACACTTCCATACTTACCTTAGGATTAGTTTGCAGTTGCTTAAGTGTGATGAACTACATTCAGTTTTATAATCCACTATGAGTAATATAGATTAAAACAATAAAATGTTGGTTAAACAAATAGAAAAAAGATAAATGATTCAACCCGATCTATTGATTGGACCGTGTTGTTGCGGTTATCTCCTTAGCCTGCTTCTTTCTCCATCCATCGATGTAACTCCTCCTCCTACTCCATATATGCTTCTTTTCCTTGCCCACTTCTCCTTCGTTTGTTTCTCCTCGACGTCTTGTATAGAGTTCAAATCGAGTTGGTTGCCCCAAGTCTCACGATGAAGCTTATGTTGGATATCTAAGAGCATCTACATCCCACAAATCATCTCTCATATGTTCGGAGATGCATCCGGTCAGTGACCAGACACAATAAAGAAGGAGAAAAGTGACCCAACCAGACCCCTCATATCTTTCTTATATGTTCGGGCTGTCCACGAACCCTCATATCCATCTCAAATATGAGGGCTCGCGGACATGCCCAGACGCACTCGGTCAATCCGCCACATATATAGGACGCGGCCTCACCTGGGACCACCTTTTCTCTTTCTTTAGTCATTCTTTTCTTTCTCCCTCTTCATATCCACCAAGTGCAAGACTGAACATATGAGGAAGAAAAAATGAATTATGACTGCACGGGTGAATAAATAGGGGTTCAAAATGGACACGCCCGGTCACTGACCGAGCGCGTCCGCGGGCGTTTGTGGAGTCGAATTAGAGGCACGTGGCTGGAGATGCTCTAAATAAAACTCACATGTTTGAGCTCGGAGAAGATGGTTCGCAGGGTGGATGGATTCAGGCCCACCAGATTTCGTGACAGTCTCTACCCGAGCGACACCTATTACATGCCATGTAATGAAAAGGGTAAAAATTTGTTGCGCAAATAAGATTATCAACACCCACCGCAATGTCAAACACAACCTTAGAGAAAACAAAAGTCTTCCAAAGTCCATCATAAGCCCTATATTTCCAATTTCCAATATACAGTGGACCTGAACATAAAACAACCAGCCTGCCTCGCGCCTCAACCCTCAAGCGGCCTGCAGATCTTTCCCTTCTACTAGAGCAGCCGTAGGCGAATGTTCCATTCCAGTTTCCCTCTTCTCAGAGAGGACAGCAGAGGCGGAGCTCGAGCTCTCTCGCAGCTCGCGGCCATGGCCCCCTCCTGCGGCGCCGCCGTGCCGTACACCCTCCTGGGCGCGCTCCTCAGCGGCGGGTCGTACGCCCCGTCCTGGCCGGCGTGCGGCGGCCGCGCCTTCCTCCGCGACTACGCCCGGCGCGGCACCAACGCGATGCTGTGGCTGGGGCTCCTCGCCGTCACGTGGGTCCTGCTCCGCCGCATCGCCGCGCTCCTCCGCCTCTGGGCCCTCGGCTCCCGCCTCCCCGGCCCACCCGCGCTCCTCGCCGATCCCGGCCTCGCCGCCGTCTGCCGCGCCGGCGGCGACATCACCGGTAGGCTCACCGCGCCCCTCCCCCAGTTTCTGCGTAACTATGATTTTGGTGGTTGCGTTTGATTGTATTATACTATTGGATTGGTGGTGGCTCTGGTGGGTGGGGACTGGGCTGGATTTCGCGCGAGCTCGTCCCCTCCACGTTCTAGGATCTTCGGCCTGGCCTTGTTGCGATGCTCGAGTGTCACTGTTCGATCGGGAGCTGTATGCGATTGCTGCAGTTTGATCCAGATTTGGTCACGCCTCCTTGACGCGCGTAATGTTCAGATTTGCTTTAGCTGAGCTGTTGATCTGGGCATATCCATTTGATTGTTCGAGGTCGTTAAGGTGGTTGGTTGATTGCAGCTCTGTTTGCTGGCAACGGTATTTGGTTATTTAGCTTTAAAACTAGTGTTAAGAACTGGAGATGATTGATACTTTGTCAGCACTAGCCGGTAGGTACACCCAGGGAATGAATGATTAGCACAGTTGACCTTAATTTGAAAAAAGGTTACAGGGTTTGCTGATTATGTGGTGATCAGGTAGATATTGGATGCTCAATTTTGATTATACTAGCTAAATGCTTTGTACGTTGCTGCGGAGATTTTATTGTATTAACTATCAACTGCATGCGTTGTTTAACCATCAGTCCACAAGTTTGTGTGAAACTAGATGATACCCCGCACGTTGTTGCGGGAATTGTAGCAAGGATAATGGAATATGTTAGACAAATGAAATATAAATTATTTGGATATACTTGTTAGCCATACCATTTCTTGGCTAAAATAAAACCATTTCATGAGATTAAACAATGCACAACTGTCTAGAAAAATATAAAAAATTTCCTTTCAAAAATATATTAATATTGGTGGTTTCAGTTCCACTGACAAAATATCATGGCCCCGCCAACCATTTATGCATGGAAAACATCTTGCCCATGATGTTTATCCACATGAATTTTGGCTTTCAAATAATATGTAACTTGTTTCATTGTAATATTTTTAGGTTCATGCAAGACTAATGAGAATTGGATGGGAAAATAGGCTGGCCTTCCTTCAACTATTTTTGTATCATCTTCCTTCAACTATTCAGACCTATACTTGTCAACACTCTCCGGTGCGCATATATGTGGAAGTAACTCACAACATTAAAACATGAGAATGATTGGAAGAGAACTAATCCATACAAAAGCTTTTTTACACCGTAATCTAGACAAAAGTAACCTGCAACATCAATATATTTCGATTATTCTGAAATATGTGGGGAGCAATGAGACCAGCCGTGAATCATTCATGCAAATTTTATACCTACAATATATATGCAAGGTCAAGTTACCTATATGGGTGACACTAATTTAAGTACTTTCTGAGGCAAGCAAAGCCCGAGATTAAAGAACACCTATTCTTACTCTGTCACTGCAAGAGCAGCAAGACAAGCTGGATGGCTCGTCGGGCTCCACGCCGAAGCAAAGGAAGGAGGGGCTGGACGACGGGTAGCAGCAAGATCTATGGAGGAGATGTGACTGGCGTGGGATGGGTGTGGAGGGCATCATCCGCTGCCGGCCGAAGCCGATGCTGGCCGTTGGGAAGTAGATGGCCGGGAGAAACCGAGGCGCAGCACCGAGAAGTGCTGCTCGTGCCGCCGACGCGCTGTAGGTTTTTCGGTGGCGCTGTACGCTGCGCCGTGGTCGGGGGAGGCCGATGCCGGCGACGCGCAGCAGGCGTGTAGCGGCACCATCCAGGCGTGGTGGGCGAGATCAAACTCCATCTTTGTTGATGAGGTTGTGTGCACCGGAGCTCGAAGGGAACTGCAGATTCAAACATCCGTGTTAGATGCCGACTAAAATAGGAGGATCATATAAAAATGTGGTGGAGAGGTGATGGTAATACTAATCGATACGATGCATCTTTGCTTCTCGACTGCTCGTCTGAATAGTAAAGGACTCGTCGCTTCAGTTACCAGGGCATATAGCCACATATAAAAGAAACAAACCGGCGAAAAAATGCACCACCGAAGCGATGCGTTGCGGAAGGTAATAGCGGCCGGTGTGGAATCATCTACAGTCTATAGGGAAAACGTGCAATGGCTGAAAGGATAAAAAAAACTTGATGATGTGGCTGATTAGCTGAGGTGGATGGCTGCATGTTGATTGCTGATGTGGATAGCTTGCATGTCAAGAGAAATATGTTAGTGGGGATGAACTATTTAGGTATTATAGATGAAAAGTCGCGAAGTATACATCAATCAAATGAAAATACATCATGATACATGAGTGCTACATAGAATGCACGGCAATTGTGGCACTTTTGCCGGAAGAGGAAGTCAAGTTACTTTGCTAAGTTATATTCACGCAATGAAAAGCCCATCATGTTAGTATACTTCGCCATGTATTCCAATTTTCCTTGAAATGAGTACTTTTCGGTTTCGCAGAAGAACTTTCTAAGAAAAAAGACCTGCTGTTGTGCATTGTAATATTAAACATTGTAGGCAGCTGGTACAAGCCACTTTTTTGTTGTTGAATTGTCCTTTCCCATCCCATGCAATCCTATATTTATGGCTATTGCATTCCTTATCTTTTCAGGGTTGGTTAGCATGTGCATAAATCTGGAGCGGCATAAGCTAGCCCAGTTCAACTCTGTAGGACCCATATTATTCAAGGCTAAAGCACATGGTCCATCAAATGTTTTGTATAGATAATAGTTTGTTTTATCTATACAAAAAAAGATAGTAGTCGGTTTTATCTCTACAAAAAAAAAAGATAGTAGTCGGTTTTAGAGCTTCATGCACAATCGTTGTGCATTTTAGCAGATTTATTACAGCACATTTCCCTTTGCGCTTCATTATTTTATTGCTTGACTTCTTATCAAATGTTCCTTCGACTTGCTTTATTTGCAGGCTATCTATCAAAATTGCATGGCAGTTTTGGACCAATTGTTCGATTGTGGTTAGGACCATCTCAACTACTTGTGTCAGTTAAAGATGCTTCCCTAATCAAAGAGATGCTAACAAAAGCTGAAGATAAGTTACCACTGACTGGGAGGACATATAATTTAGCTTGTGGAAGACTTGGCCTATTCATTTCCTCATTCGAAAAGGTATGTTGTTGATGTGGATATCTGTAGTATTACTCTTTCTTTTGTCTTGCCATATGTGTTACTATGCTAGTTATAATCGGTAGATGGTACATATCATTATTGCTTTGATCTTGTGTTTACTTCTTTTGATGCTCTTGTCCTTCTTTTCAGGTCAAAAGTACCAGGGAATCACTGAACGTATTCTTGAATGGAAAACTTAATGTCGCTGCCAGTAAAAGTTCTTTCAAGATCATTGAAGCTGTTCTCCATAGAACCAACTCTACTAAGGACATGGATTCTCTGGACTGCAGATCTTTTTCCCAACACATGGCATTTAACATCATTGGTGCAGCTCTTTTTGGTGATGTCTTGTTTGATTGGTCTGATGCTGCAGCATATGAGGAGCTTCTGATGGCTGTTGCAAAGGACGGCTGCTTCTGGGCTTCGTATGCGGTTCCTCCATTTTGGAAACCTGGTTATAGGAGGTACCGGACCCTATGCACTAAGCTGAAGACCTTAACAGAAAGCATCATCAGAAAATCCATAGACCAAAATGGTGAACTTAGACATAACAATCTGAGCTCCTGTAAGATAAGTGAAGGGGTGGTAAAAGATCCAGTTAGATGTACTTCTCTGCTAGATGGGATGATATCAGGTCGTGGTTTCGATGGGGCTGTGCAAGGGCCTCTCAGTTCAGAAGAAGAAATATGTGGAAATATTGTGGGTTTGATGCTGCATGGAATTTCCACGTCTGCTAACTTGCTCTGCAACATTTTGACGAGACTTGTCTTGTTTCCAAAGCTGAAAGACCAGGTACATGTTTTAATTTCTCTGTTGCAAGTTGTCCTGGTTGCTCTTTGTCTGATGTTAACATAGGTGCTTCTTACCGCCTTCTTGTCCGTATGATGAAATGAACATATATGTTCTAAACAGGTCACATGGTTACATAAGTTTCATAGCCCCCCATTACTTTCCATTTTTATTCATTGCTTCTACCCCACTGTATATTATTTTGAATTCTTGGTAGTCTCAGGGTTATATGTCGTGTGCATAATAAATCCTTTTCTAATTTGTCTGACTTGGGTGAAGTGACCTTTACTCCATCTCCACATCAACTAAAATGTTTTTGTCAGTGTGTGTTTGAGTTTATACTGTTTAACTTTGACTTACAGTTGCTGCTTCTTTGGACAGCTGCACGCAGATATTGTTGCTGTTCACACTGAATCATCTGAGCTGGTGATGGACGATGTGCTTAAGATGCAATTTGTACTTGCCACTGTTTGTGAATCTGCTCGCCTTTTGCCTGCTGGACCTCTTCTCCAGCGATGTTCAATGCAACACGGTACACATGCTTCTTAAGAAAGAAAAATCTTCAGCAACACTGAGCTTTAGAGCTTGTTTACTTGTATGATTACATGGTCTTATCATTCATTTTTAAAATTGTTTACATGTTCCTTATGTTGAAATTATGCCTTTATCCTGAATTTCATTTGCACATCTAGCTGCAAGAGAGATCAATTGTTACTTATTCCTAGTATGTGTTTGCTATGTTATTGATCTCCCTTTGATTTGAATTGCAGATCTGACTCTCAAATCTAGCATCACTATACCAGCTGGAGCGATATTGGTTGTTCCTCTGCATCTCGTGCAGATGGATGCTTCTATATGGGGAAATGATGCTTGCCAGTTCAATCCTAGTCGTTTTCTCCAGAAGGACATCGATCTTGGAGGTTTCTCCCTCCCTCCCTCATTTTACTTCGACGTCTAGGTCACACCTCCTTATAATATAGTGCAATTAAGTAGCAAAAGTTATGTATTGATGGGTATTGCATTTCATAAATTTCAAATAGAATTCCATTCATGTCAAGGAAGGTTTCTATTCAGCACAAGTACTTGGTCATAAATACTGAGAATTAACATAGCACACCAATCTTCTGGAGAATTCATGCTTACCTATATCTGTATTTGTCATAAATTTGTTAGATCTTCAAAAACCTTCTTTGAGATCTTCTGGGAGGATAGTTCCATGTACATTGCTTCTATTTCATTTATTTCATGCAAAGATGAGACTCCTATTTCTTTTCTGACTCAGTTTTCTTATTTTACTTAGGAATATTAGCAGCGCATAAAGGCTCAAATGGGATCAAGCTTTTCACCGAGCGTGATAAGTCTGACTCATTTCTTCCATTTGGTTCTGGGAATCGAGCATGTGTTGGGCAGAAGTTTGCAGTTCTTGGGATCTCTATGTTGGTTGCCTCTCTTCTCCACAGCTACGAGGTTTGTTGCGATAACTGTTGTGCCTAATTCCATGGTACATATGCTGGTTGCCTTCTTGTTTTATGCTCACATCAGCTCTTTTTTGGAACATGCAATGCCTTGCATAACTTTGTTCATATGGGCGTCATGAAAGATGAAACACAGTAACCAAATGTTCAGAGTGTTGGCAGTTCTTTTGGGCCTGGGATTTTTTTGACTAAGTAGATGGGATCTTACGCTCTTGAGCTACAGAGTATGACCCCTCGTAATTTGTGTTCTAAATTTCTAATATTAATTTGGAAACTCTTAACTTGCAGGTGCAGCCTCAACCAGCTTTAACCAAAGAAATGGGCTTGGCAGTTGACAGCAGCAACCTTCGCCATCTTCCCAACCCCAAAATCATCCTCACAAAAAGAAAGATCTGAAGCAAGAGTTCAGTGATCAAACTTTGACGCCTTACCTCATGCATTTACATGTTATTTTTTTACTGGTGTTGTACCAGGGTATGATGATCTCTAGTCCGCTCTCCTACCGTCGTTTCAACTGCGCTGAAGTTTGGAAAAGGTGCTACTTTGCGACCGTGGAAGGTTTTTTCCTCTAGATTTTTTACAGCCCCGATGAGCCTTGTTACACCTAGTTGTTATTAGCGTTTTGAGGCGCTCTGGGCTGTGGAATCACGGGAGGTGTTGCTTACCGACGTGCATATAAACCGATAGTTTTCTGCAGTTTTTTCTTCCGGTGTTTTCTCTTCCCCTGTGGAGGACTGTAAGTCTGTAATGTCTGTCCGTCCAATATATGATGACATATTGTATGCTGTATCATACACAAATTGTGCATTATACGTATATCGTCAGGCTGTTGTCTGAAAACGTCTCGTTTAAGTGTTTGTGTTCTGATGGAACTCTCATGTTGACAGCTAAGTAGGGATTGGAACCTGTCATCTTTCGTTGTTGTCTGGCAGTTCTTAGTTTGTGGTATCTTCTTTAACATTTGGTACGGGTCTTGCATTACAATCAAAGATTCCAAAACATGATAGGATCAGCATTACCTTCACAATTCTACATAAAGACTTGAAACATGGTATGATCAGCATTTTCAGACAAGAGGCATTGAACATCTCCAGGGCCATTTTCTCCTTTGAAATGCGTCGAGGCAGACTCCCAACAAAGAAACAGGTCTGATAGTTTGAACTCTAAAGTCTGTTTTCAGTTCATGACACCGCTAAAAACTTAGGGATGCAGAACGGCGCCCAATCCGCCCCGCTATGAAGTCAAAACAAATCAGGTTATTTATAGCATTTTGTTAGCGATGTACTACTCCGTTCCTAAATATAAGTCTATATTCATCCATATGTAGTCCAAAATCAAATCTCTAAAAAGTCCTATAATTAGAAAAGAAGGGAGTAGTTCAGTTTGAACCAACTCCCCGTTTTGCAGGCTTATGCGGAACGCCGCCCTGCATCCCTATAAAAACTGCTGCTGAAAATTATCTGCGCAGGGAAACACACCCCATCTTAAGACACATTGTTATATCCAGTATACAGGAAGACACACGCTTATCTGTTGTGACTGAGAGCCTTCCAAAATTCCAACATTGAGCTAAAGAAAGTAAGAATGATTAACCTGACACTAAAGAGCAGAATAGAGAAAAAAGAAGTTGACGGCACATCTCATGGCAAGGTAAATATTTCCAGGTTTAATCAATCTACACGATGACACCGCAGGATCAAACACTCTTGCACAGTACAGGTAAAGTTGGGACGGCCACCGATCGAAAAACCACTGGACATCTCTTACAAGAGTTGCATGGCAATGGAAATTCTACAGTGAGAAAGAGAGAAACAAGCCGTTCATAAGTAAACTACACCGAATACAAAACACACATTCAACAACCACAGCTCGCATTCAACTACCACCACTGTTTGGAAAAATTATCTGCGCAGAGGACTGGACCCCATCTGTAAGCTGCTTGACAATTGTTTCCTGCTCACCTTTGTCCGCCGGACAGAAACCTCCTCTTGGAATGTTCATTGAATCGCAGTCCACGCATGGATATTTATCTTCTTTGAGAAGAACCGTCTTCAAGTTTGAAGCTCGCTCCATCACGGACCTTAAAAAAGAAATTTGTTGCTCTAGGGGCCTAAAGCCAACAAATTCAAGCTCTCTCAGTTGCCAAGTTTCAGAGCTTGTGAACTTAGGCATGCTCCATGACGGCTTCGTTCTTTGAGCCTCGTAACCTGTCGTTGTTCTCAACTGCTCATCATCCTGGCAAGCATGGTCCCATATCTGCATGAGGTATCGACGCATTCAGTACAACACGATCATGGCCACACATACTTATCTGTTGTGAGAGCCTGTTCTGAATCCCAAAATGTATGTTATGTGTGATACATATATTAAACTAAAGAAAGTAAAAATGAATGACCGGAAAAGTACCCGCACAGAAAATATCTCAACGGATGGAGCAGCTTCAAGGAGATTTATTGTCCATAACAGGTCAAAATCCACAAAGATGCCACAAATAGACAGCTTCCTTAGCTGTTTGAATGCATGGCAGAGTTGCTTTCCTTCGGGTTGTATCCAAAGCCTTTCTCCTTCGAAATCCAAAGTAAGAGTATGGATGTTTCTGGTACCATGTAGAACCTGGCTCAGACTAAACTCCTGATGATCAATGGTTGCACCACAAATAAGGCCCAGCACCTTGAGGGATGGAACAGAACCAAAACGCAAGGGGGCCTCGAAACAAAACCACTCGTCCCAACTTAGATGCTTCAGTTTTGGTAGGCAGAGCACCTCAATTCTCCTCAAGCAGGACATGCGGACTTCAAGGATTCTGAGTTTGGAATCTGGTGCATTTATCTGCCACACTGAAGAGTCCCCAACATCACAGTGGGACAGAGATAAATGCTTGAGTTGCTTGCAGGAGTCAAACAGGAGGTGTTGCATATCCCACTCAGCAAACCGCACATTATACAGACGGAGCTTTGTGAGGCACTGAAACACACTAGGATAGGCTGTTAAAGACCCATCGACGGCCAGGGCTTGCTGTAGCATATAATCATGTTCAGTCTCTAGGATCCTTCTCATCAACAATTGCAAGGCACAGGTTTTTTACTACCCCGCAATCAATCGCGTCGCGAGCCAGTGAGCCAATCTCAAGTGCGTAATCGCCGGTCACATAGAGCTGAAGGCTTAGCCTTTTGATGATGGTGGATTTGCTGTTTGGGTCAGCCAAGAAACTCCTAGTTGCTTTGGTTAGACGTGACATTGCTTGATCCATGTGATGTGCTGCAATGGGTTCCGGGCATGAATGGGGCAGAAAATTCCAGACACGAAGGTTGAGCACAGGAAGCAACCATGGCAAATCTCTCCACCGCTTTGACAACACGCTAGTTCGTGTTGCCGTGGCTGTGTCAACTCTCACCAAGATAGATAATAATATGTCACCAGTCAGCATGCTGAGCCTATCTTCATGCTTTGTTCGCTGCAAAGTAAAAATAATAATATCAGCAGTTAGTGAATGGCCTTGTTGCACGAATCATGATATTCAAGGAGTAAAGGAAAAGCAATAGTAAGTTAGAGCAGCTACTGCGGTAGACAGGAAACCTAAGTTAGAGCAGCTACTGTGGTATAGCTGAAGTGGTTGTGCAAATAATTTGATTCCAGGAATGATCTGGCCAATCTGCCAATAGCCCAATAACCTGTGCTCCTTATTTGGTGCACGTTGCCAAGAAAGCTACGACGTGCAAATCTGTCAACAACTCGTGCTCCCTATATTTTTTCACAAATGAATGGGCAGTCCAGGGTCAAGAGTTCTGATTATTCTGGGATCAAATTGTACTTAGCAGTTAGCAGCAACAAAATGCCTGGCAGAATCCTTTTCCAGTGTTCAGAAAATCTTTGGGTTTCTGGCTTCCGTTGTTTGAATCCATGAGTAATCCACTAATCTGGCGGTCAAAACCCTAATGCGCAATGTACCAAACACACACTTACAGTTACTCGTGAAACAGCTATAAGAAGGACATGCCTAACTACTTCCAAGCTAAGGTCTCCTTTGGCTCATAGGATAGAAACTAGCACATATGCCCGTGCGTTGCAACGGGAAACAAAATTAACATGCATTTAAATTTAATAAAAGTTGTATGTGCAAGCACAGTTGTGCTTCACTACAGAAAAAAATTTGCTAATTTGTTTCACTCACAAGATGCCCATATTTTCCATGCACGTCGGCTCTTATGTCCTCTGTTTGGTCAGGTGTTATTAGGCCTGGGTCCACTTAAGCACGTCCATATTTGCTCTTATGTGTTATACTCCCTCTGTTCGGTCGGGTATTATTAGGCCGGGATCGGGTCCACTTAGCAACGTCTATATTTGCTCTTATGTTATACTCACTCTGTTTGGTATGGTATTATTAGGCTGGGATCAGGTCCACTTAGCAGAGTCCATAGTTGCTTTTATGTTATACTCACTATGTTAGGTCGGGTATTATTAGGCCGGGATCGGGTCCACTTGCTGCGCCCATATTTTCCACACAGGCCATCGTCCGTATGCAGGATTTAATTGGCACATCTGTTTCCCACAGAATCCCGAGAGTGGAATTTAATTTTAATGGACCCACTCTTTACCCTCTGCTACTAATCCATTAGGCTGCTTGTTGATTTTAACTCACAACCGTATTTAAATTGACAGGTCTAGATGAAAGAAAGCAAGGTGGGACTATGTAATAGCTGAAGAAACTAATTGAACGGCTAGTGTGCTGGGAGGGTAGGTTGGCCGGATTCGTTGGGCCAGCACGGTCGATTGATGTCCTGAGGCCCAAGCTGGCGACGTGTGGTTAGTCACGCGAGCCTCCAATTAAAACGATCAGCATCCCCTAAAAAAGATTTAAAAACGATCAGCGCCAAAACCTGGCACGTTTTCTTGAGACTTTCCAAACCTGTCACGTGTAGTATCGAGCGGAGTTGAAGCCGAACAACATCATCAATCTGGCTTCTAAGTGGACGTTTATTTTTGCATGATGGACGTTCCTTTGACAACCGACATATGAAGCAGTCCGGTTTGAGCCACAGCTCGAACGCAAAGATGATGTCATCTTTCCTTAAGATGGAAAGCCAATTCGGCTATACGTAGTGCAGCAATCCAACACGTAAGAGATTGCATATGCGAAACTGACATCAATTTACATTAGGAAATACAACTTAATTTGTGGAGGAAAACGGTTATTTAATTCACACATGAGATTCAACTTAAAACTAAGAACACACACAGGAGTCTATCACACGGCATGTGTATTGAAAGAAACATATAGTTAGTCGTAATCCTCTAGGACACATGCACATTACGTGGACTGCGGGTTGAATCTCATAAAGACCAAGGACGTTAATACAAAAATGTATGATGGACCAAGAATATCTCCTCCCTTATTTATTAGTAGGTATAGACATTACTAGCAAAAATGCCCGTGCGTTGCAACGAGAGATAGAAAAATAGCTCAGGTCCTTAGTTAAGACCCTCTCCCTGGAGCAGATCCAGGTCCTCTATTTCAACGCGACATCTCATCCATATCGCCGCTTATTTTCCTTCCCTCTGTGCAGTTGGCATGTGTAGAACACATAGTTTATGATGTGATAAACATCTCTAACAGACATTTAAGTGTGTAGGTTCCAGAACGTGATACTTTTACACTGTCAACAACATAGTAAAAATCGTTGGCCATAGCTTGCGGCACTTGCAGGTAGGAGAGGAGGATGAAGAAGTGGATGGGGCAATGGTGCGGGTGCGGCCAACATCGATGATGATCTGGTGATTCACGAAGGAGGCAAAGGCAGCATGGGAAGGGCAGATGACTTAGGAGAAACACATGGGTGGGGGTGGGATAGGAGGCATTTGACAAAAATGGCACACATTTCCTTTCATAGTACACTTTTCTTTGTCCTTGACAAAAAAAGCACATGTTTGATATATAGTTGGATAAAATGACACAACTGAGTTCTCCCTCTATTTTGAGATGTGGGACCACCCTCTATATTTCTTTGAACACTTTTGCACTTTGTCAATTCCTTTACACTGGCTTAGTATGGTTCGATCAGAGGCCATCGTAATCGATTGAAGCGCAGGTGTTGCTGTGGCCTTTCCCGGCGCTCCGCCCGCCCCACACACTGCTACGTCGCCCCAAGTCATATTTCTTTGAACAATTTTGCACTTTGTCAATTCCTTTACACTCGCTTAGTATGGTTCGATCAGAGGCCATCGTAATTGATTGAAGCGCAGGTGTTGTTGTGGCCTTTCCCGACGCGCCGCCCGCCCCACACACTGCTACGTCGCCCCAAGTCTTCTCCTGTGTCTCCAAAACAATTGCTGCCAAAATTTGGATTGCATCAAAGACAAAACACTTCAACCATACAATGCTACAGGCAGCAGCTACAACCAACCATTGTTCACAGCAAAGCAGCCAAAGAAAAACATCAAGTCAACTATTGCAAAACAGTAGAGGTAAAAAAAAAGGTAAAAAAATAGTTGTCACGCCGAGAAGCCACTGTGCAGCTCCTCTCTTCACTACCATTCTGCTCATAAATTGTCTTTGCCCCTCTACTCTACAGTCGAAATAAAGTAGAGAGCTTTGCTGGGAATAAGAGAAGCTTACGATCTTTGCTTCTGAAGAAAAAAACTCGATGCCCTTCACAATTGCATATGTGTAGTTTACAGTAAAGCGAAAACTTAGTTATAACTACCAGGAAGAAAACCATAATCAATAGATAAGCTAACAATGCAGCTATGAAAAAATCACGGACCCTTTTCAAGTTGAAGTAGTAGTTCTACGCTGCAACATCTAGTGGCTTCAGAAATTATTTGAAGTTTTACATATATGATCCACTTCAAATAATTTAAGAAATAAAAGCCTGATTCTGTCTTCAACACTTTAAAATTCTCACCCTAGCTCACCGTATCATTATTTCTTACTGCACTTACGGGCAGGCTAGATGTATATGATGGTACATGCATGCTATACATACCATTCACCTAACAAAGTATAGAAAGTCATCTTAGAAGTTTATTCCGCCAAGCACAAATACTGTATGATGAATCAGATGCCACAATTTTATTTGATTAGGGGGTTACCTCTAGAAATAGCAGCACATAAGAAGATAACTGCCTATGCCAGTTATGAAGAAATTCAGCTGCTGTGACATTACCTATTGAGCATGACCAGCGTTGCCTACGTTCACCTCAACTTGTTGGCCACCATGTCGGACGATGGCCCATAGACGACCCTCACCTTCAACTCTATCTGCAGAAAATCAACTTGGTGGGTAGAGGTAGCAACTGAACAAATGGAAAAATAGCAGCAGACAGTAGAATGGTAACAGAGGTATTGAAGCAAACTGTACAAAGAGTTGCAAACCCATCCAGATGAAGTAGTCTATAAGTAGTTGCAGATTGTACCGAGCTGGCCTTAAAATTGAAACCAAAAGCAGACAAACAATTTCTTTCAAAAGGAAAAGAAATCACTATTATAACTGACTTCATGACATTTATAAAAAAGAAGTGAAAAGAAAATAAAGTTACTGCTGAATAAGATAAGATATCTACAAATTTAACAGTACCGGCACTACATGTAAGGCCACATTAATTCAATTGATACGAACGTTCAGCATTTCCTACGAAAATGTCTAAAGCAGTAAAGCTTATAGCATGAAAGCTGAACATTGGATTAAAACAATGATGTGAAAACAACATTTTTCCGCTAGATCCATAACCGTAGAAAAACATCCAATTGATTGTATCATTACTTCAATGAACTAAATGAGAAGTAGTATTACTTAAGAAGTCCATATAATCAAGATGAAAGCATGTACAGCTAACATTTTTGTGACCAAAACCAATAAAGCGTCAACATTTCCCGGATCCATAGACACAAGAACATACTGGACTGATACCCACTTTAGTGTGGCATTTGCAAGATATTCAGCAAAAAGGAGCATAAAGAGAGCTTACCCATTCCACCTCTAGACAGTACAGTCAGATCTTTAGCTTAAGCTTAATATCTGAACTGCAAGTGTAAACACGACACTCATGATAACAGATGA